ACAGACATTTGAAACAACATATATATATATATATATATATATATATATATATATATATATATATCGTTTTTTAAAAAATATAGAGAACACAAATATGCGAAATGCAAGAAACGAATTAATAGTCACATATAGACATAAAAATGAATATATTATGGAGAATGGTGAATTAGACTGAAGTGAGTATTTGCTGCCATTCACAATATTTATATTTTATGTGCTGCTTTCTTTTTATTGTATTTTATTATATATATATATATATATATATATATATGTGTGTGTGTGTGTGTGTGTGTGTGTGTGTGTGTGTGTGTGTGTGTGTTAGGGTCTTTCAAAAGTTTGTCATATTCTAAGAACTACACATGGTAACCTGATTGAACTGGTATCATTTAAAAGCTAAAAGTGTCAAGTTTTCTTCTGTTAACTTATCTGTCTGGATATCCTCAATAGTTTTTAAGATATACAATGTCTTAATGTGGGACAGACATTTGAAACAACATATATATATATATATATATATATATATATGAATAGTTACAGTGGGGTAATGGATAGCGGTTCGAAGAGCCGAGTTCGAATTCCAGTTGGATGCATTACATTAACTTACATGCTAGTATCTTCTTCCCTAGTTATGGGTTCTATAGCCTTGGGTGGCAACCGGTCTAGAAAAAGGTAACTGGAGAAGTTTGTGGTCCCTCAAGCTAACTTACCCAAGAAACACCACTCCTACTGCGGCAGATGGGTCACTATGTGTGTGTGTGTGTGTCTTGTGTGCAGAGAAAAATAATAATAACAATAAGATCTGAAAAAGCAGCTGAAATTTTTATACGTAATGTTTATAATACATGTAAGTTTACAGGGAATTATTAGAATTGTTTTACTTCCATGTGGGTTTTGTTTAACCGGTTTAACGTCACTTTTTATCTTAATCCTGGTAGACAAATTCTGTAATAATCGTTAAGACGTCGGCGGTAGGCCTCAAGAAACGAAATCTCTATTATTTATCCGAAAGAAAATTGATTAAAGTGAGTAGTTTATTCAATTTGGCGTTGATTAGAGCATTTAGCACGTTGCCAAAATAGGCAATGACTAAGATGGCGATAATTCAACGACTCAGAATTTTACCCGGAATTCTTAAAGACAGGTAGCACATTCACTTACATGCTAGTATCTTCTTCCTCAGTTATGGGTTCTATAGCCCTTGAGGACACATGGCACAGTGGATACAGGTGTTGGTTAGATCCAGTGACAGACCCAAAGAAGGTGAGTTCAATTCCTGGTTAAGGCAGTGGAGAACTTTCAGAGGGAAAATTAGCAGGAGATAACTGATACCTGACATCCATCAAACATGGCACGTGGAACTAGAACAGTCTACCCCAGTGATCGAAATAAAGGGTTCAGTTCGAAATTCCAACCACCTGAAGAAGGCCGGAGCGTACAAAGGCCGAAACGTTGTGACAAATATGGCGACAAAGATGAGGACAATAGTCCGACTAATGTAAATACTGTACCAACAACGTTTGTTTTTAATTATCCCACATTATCACAGCAGCAGTTTTTTTTTTTTTTTTTTGAAGGAAAGGTGACCTATGATTCTAGGCGTATATTTACCGGGAAAGACCCATATATAAGTGCACAGTATAAATTATCAATATTTCGACTTTTAATTAGAATATTATTCTCCACATTCCAACCTCTGTCGAACAGAAGAGATGTGCCAAGCGTCTCGCAACGTCCACAAAACGTGCTCGGACGAGCTACATTCCTTGGTCCCCTCAGTTCAACACATCACGGCAAGGAGACACCATATCATTTACATTGTAGCAAACCGCCCTCATATATTCCGTACTGCGTCGGTGACAAGTAAGTTCCACTCGAACAGCTTGTCGTAAAACTCTGCTCTGTGAAACCGACTCACAAGAGGATGTTTCCCCGATCACTACCTGTTCAAGTCTATGGGTAACCGTTATTTTTCCCTCTTATCCACACGAATTGCCTCTTAACCTAGCCCTCTACCTCGACTCGCCTAGTACATGATTAACCTTACTGGGAAGAAAAAACAACGGGTATATGTGAGTGTGCAGGTGTCTTAATTGCACTCTGTCTTTATTATTCCTATTTTGGAAATATAAAAATAACAGATAAAAGCTATTCTTAATCCTTATATTAATGTAATATTCAATCTTCTTTGATCGAGGAGCCAGTATTTCTGCCGAGTGAAATTAATAAAATCTTTCTTTTAAGTTTTTTTTCGAGAATATAATCGTTTCAAGTCCAGTAGCTGTTATCGCTCTTTCCAGTATTAATGGGGTTTTCCTTTCTAACTTTTTGTTCAAAATAGTGCAGAATGTCAGCATTTTGATTTTCTCATTATTTTATCTTCGAGTTGCACGTCATATCTATTTTAGCTGTTACTGTTGTTAAAAATCCACTAGTGAGGTGGTTTCTCTTATTTAGTACAGTCCTTTGTGATTCTATAACCTCAGTCTTACAAGATTCCATTAAAGATGGTCTTGACCAAAACCCACAGGCTTCTATCGCTCAAATACATTCTTAACCATTGGTTTTAGAAAATGGTTGTAGACAGCTGACAGTCTAGATATTTTTGAACGGATTTGGCGTCATGCATCTTATCTATATTGTCATGGGCCCTTACCTATAACTACAGAATGAACTCTTCCTAACACTATGTAAACTACGCCTCTCAAGAGAGAGGGTCGATTCAAGCCGACCTTCTCGGCTTGATGGTCTAACTCTCTGCCTCTGAGCAGAGAGGAACCCGGACGAGGTTCCGCCGAAGGGCAGAATCTCGTTCGGAGAGAAATGACCAACCCGATCTCGTTTTTACGAGTCATACGGGCATTTTTTGGCCGAGCCTACGGGCTCGGGAAACCCACGATAAACTTGGCCTTGTGCCACATGCAACCCTCGTGGGGGGTGGCTAGATACTGATTCAAGCCGACCTTCTCGGCTTGACGGTCGAACTCTCTGCCTCTGAGCAGAGAGGAACATGGACGAGGCTCCGCCGAAGGGTAGAATCTCGTTTCGGGGAAAATGACCCAACCCGATCTCGTTTATACGGGTTATACGGGCATTTTTTGGCCGAGCCTACGGGCTCGGGAAACCCACGATAAACTTGGCCTTGTGCCACATGCAACCCTCGTGGGGGTGGCTAGATACCGATTTAAGCCTAGCTTCTTGGCTTGACGGTCGAACTTTCTGTCTTTGAGCAGAGAGGAATCCAGGACGAGGCTCCGCCGATGGGTAGAGCCTTGTTCGAGGAGGTTGACTAACCCGATTCTGTTTTTACAGTTTCTACGGGCATCTTTTGGCCGAGCCTACGGGCTCGGAAAACCCGCGTAAAACTCGGCCTTGTGCCGCCTGCAACCCTCGTGGGGGGGATGCTAGATACCGAATCAATCCGGGCGTCTCGGCTTGACGGTCGAACTCTCTGCCTCTGAGCAGAGAGGAACCCGTCGAAGGGCAGAGTCGTGTTCGGGGAGGGTGACCAACCCGATTCTGTTTTCCAGTTTCCACGGGCATTTTTTTGGCCGAGGCAGCGCGCTCGGGAAACCCACGTAAACCTCGGCCTTATGCCACATCTTTTCCTCGTGAGGAGGTGGGCAAGTAAATATCGAATCGAGTCGAGCTTCTCGGCTTGACGGTCGTACTCTCTGCATCTGAGCAGAGAGGAACCCGGACGAGGCTCCGCCGAAGGGTAGAGCCTCGTTCCGGTAGGTTGACCAACCCGATTCTCTTTTAACAGTTTCTACGGGCATTTTTATCCGAGCCTAGGGGCTCGGAACACCCACGTAAAACTCGGCCTTGTGCCACATCTTTCCCTCGTGGGGGTGGGGGCAAGTAAATATCGAATCGAGCCGAGCCGATAGTAGTTCACTCCAAACCAGACTGACAGTCATACTAACACCTTCCACATCTTGTATTATTATTTCGTGTAATATACCTTCGTTATTTCTACTCTTGTGTTCGTGTTTTTCTTCCTTGGTCCTAACCTGGACCATAACGCCTATCAATATCAGTATCTGGCAAAGCTATTTAAGAAAATGTTTATAGTTTTCAGGTTAATGTTTTGGTTTAGTAGCAATTTGTTGTTTTGGGCGAAACTATCCCTCACATAGCGTATTCCTCATCTCCTCTACGCAATTTCTTATAATTGTTCCCTTCAGCGAGGTAATTGAAAAGTTTACTGTTTACTTATTTCACTTTCTTAAACTTTGTGAGGTACGGTAGAGTAATGGATAGCGCTTCAGTTGGAGGAATCGGAGAGCCGAGTTCGAATTCCATTACATTCACTTACGTGCTAATACCCTCGGGAAAGTTATGAATCTTCTTTTTACCATCCAGCTATGAGTAAATAGCAGGAAAGACGAGTTATATAGCTTTGAATGGTAAAAAGTCTACCGCAGTAAAAAATGGCAACCTACCACGGAAAAAAATCTGCTTCGTTAGTTATGTATCGAAAGATGCATAATCGCCTAAGCGTATATCACGTATGGCATATAACTGATTGAATTTTTATGAGTGACTCATGGTAAGTGACCTCACTGTTGTTGTTATAATTCCAGATCATTATTTTTTATTTTGGATACGTGTATCTTGAGTCCTACTTCTTGGAACACTTACCAGGCGACTGTTGCCTTTTTTTAATATCATTGTTATCCCATCTATGAATATCTATGTATAGCCACACACACGTATACACAAATTCATCCAACTTTAGAATACTGGGTTCAGGTTCAAAAGTAACAATGGGGTATTCTATTAGCAGCTCCCTTTAAGATGTGCTCATCTTTTCACATCACTGCTTTTAAATGCGC